AACAAACTGATTGGGCCAGTTCAGCACGAAACGTTTCAAGCATCTCTACGAAGCTTTGGCAGCTAAAAGTGAGTGCATGCCTGCCATGCGCGTCATCCCGCTCGACAGGATGCTCCAAGAAAGAATGGCAATGGCCCGAGCAACAACTGCTCATGAACATGCAACTGAGGTATTGCCAAAGTGGCCTTTTCTTTCTCGCCCTTTTCCATCAGTTTCTTCTTCTCGCTCTCAATCTCCTTTTTGCTAAGCGGCACACGGGCGAATTACCAGCTGTGGTTCTCAAGATCAATGCCCTCAACTGGTCGTCCACATGCAGAACCCGGAAAGCATCCGTCCTCTTCCTTCCTATCTCTCGTTATTCTGTTCACGCGGATGTTCAGGCCGGTGTCTAAGTTCGGATGGAACCTTGCGGATGGCAAGAAAACTTTCGAGGCGTCGCAAATACCTACCAGACCTCCTCTTACAAACACATCTGTTAGGTTGCAAAGAATTTTGTTTGCGTGTTTGAGTGCGAACCAGCCTGAAGAACGAAGTTGCTGCACACATACTTGTCAGACCTCTGACATCGTCTGACCCTTGACCCTCAACAGACATGTTCGTGGGCGACCGCCTGCAACAATCGGCTGTGAATCAACATCCAACTTGAAGCCCTGGAATGCCTCTTGCTCAACTCTCAGCACCGTACGTGGTCTCATCGTCACTGATTTCCAGCCGGTCCCACTTTGAATAATCAAAGCCAGACATGGCTGCTTTGGGCAGCCCCCAGAACCTACCACTTGGGCCAAAATGCTCAGCAGGCATTAGCTGATTAGCTCATGGCTGGAATGGCCAGGCTATGGAGACTGAACGTTCCCTTCGCAGTTCCCTTCGCAGACAGTGTCGCAGGTGGCTTCTCTTATCTTGCTTGCAACGGTCTCTGCGATTGCAACCAATTCAGTTAAATCTTGGAACCTTCACAGATCGCGTTGGCTGAACTGTCTTCAGAGGTTTCTTGCGACTGTCCTGCGAAGATTCGCAGTACTGACAGCACTTGTGCCAGTACTCAAGACATTAACAGCCACAAGCCCTGACTTATGGCACTCACGGGCCTTCAACCGTAACTTTAGACAGAGACCGAAGCCAAAGAGCAGCCTCCAGTCTCTGGGAACTTTTCTGAAACATTGCGTTGGCATGCCCAGTCTCAGTCCAGCGTGTCAGTCTCTACTACCTGCATTCAAGGCACAACTGTCCAATCTTCACACTGTCACTTACTGCTGCCTAAGGGGGAGTGCAGGAATGCATCCATACAATACTGCCTTCAAACTCCCTATGTAAGCCGGATACTGGCATCTATACCTATCACTCCTCCTCCCCCTCAAGCACCAGTATCAAGGTACCAGTTAGGTGGCTTCCACAAACAACTAAGGGCCCCTGTCTAGGACTAAGTATCCTTAATCCTTGGGGTCTAGATAAGAACTGCTAGGTTTCTACTGTGCCTTGCCTTCTTGGCCTCCCCGCCCGCGGCTCCCTGCACAGAAGTTCGAGGCAAGACTACTTGGAGATTCAGGGGAATTAGAACCCACTTATGCGGCATCTATATAGGGTTATACAGAGTTGTGGGACTTATACAAGGGTATATAGGGCTTGAGGCAAGTAAACCCAAATATCATTGTAGCTACGACTCCAATAGAACCGGATTCGGGAACCTGGCAGGCTCGCCGTTCTAGGCAGGTTATAGTTAGCCTGAACCTCCCAGGCGGCTAACCTGCTACAACAGCAGACCCACGTTCAGTGAAGGGCTCTCATCCAAAAAAATCCTCTGAACGGTAAGTTGAAGATCCTCCACACGTTGAATCCTCAGGCCCTACATGTCCTTCAACACCCCAAAACCCCTTAACCCTAAAACCTGAACCCAAGAGCCAAAATTTGCCAAACCTCAAATTCTGGGCCCAGCCTGCTGCGGCGCATCTCCGGAGCCAAGAGGTGCCTTGCGCAGACGGTCCCTTTTGATCGGGTTCCAAACATGTCCAAAAAACTCATATCTACGGTCCCCCTTAAGTAAATAGAATATGGGCTATATGGAGATCATAATATACCCCCAAACCATATTCTATCTACTTAAGGGGGGCTATATCCAGTAGCTCATCTCACCTTTCAAGACAGGGTCCTTGACACTGAGCCCTGGGGCAGCAATCCTAAAGCAACCCTAAATCCCGGATCCTAAACCCCTCTAGACATGGGAGGTCCTGAGCAAAAATTCCAACAGCAAGCCATGATTAGGTGATGCGGAGCTGCACCACAGTGCAGACAAAGATATATTATATGAGGAAACTAAACGGATCAATCGGACTTTTGGTAGGGAGGGTATAGCGCTTGTATTCCTCACTCAAGCTGCGATGGTTCAACTTGGGGATAGTTGCTTGGTACTATCCAGCTAGATGGAGCTGGCGCGCACCTCTGCTGGATCTAGGTCTGGCAACTCCTGGCAGCACGAGTGGATTGTCAACAGCAAGTTGGTAGAACTTGAAACTCCAAATCCTGAACTACGAACTCTCGATTACCTCTGGAAGGGGTTTTGCAGCTGCCCGATAGGACGCAGGTTGGTGCAAACGCTAGTACATGCCGGATCATACACAGTGTTGGCCTAGGGGGAAGCGGGCTTGTCCAAAACAACAACACGCAGAATCTCAGAACCACGGAATTGGCTTGTCGATTGAAATGAAAGCACAGCACCTATGAAGCTCAGCAAATTACGTGCAGTCTACGGAAAGCTGTCCCCTGAAGTGTAGCCCTGCTTCTGAACTGGATCGGGAAATCGTTCTGGAACTCATAATTCGATCAAAGTCGGTCTGAGGTTTCAACTATCCCATTCCCCAGATAATCCCAGATTTGAAACATCCCCCTCTCTCTATTCTTGAGCATTCTTTGCAACAGTCCCTTTCTATTGACATTTTGAGGACCAGAATTTCTACTCGGGATGGGGGAAGCTCCACTAGGAAGGGGTTACGGTGCCTCGTCATCGGAGTCATACTCCTCTTCAGCTCCCATGTCGCCAAAGTTCATGTCACCTAATCCTGGCAGCTGGTAAGATCAGCAGTGATTCTTCGCTGCACAAAGAACGCCAAGAAGATTGCTGCGAGGTGGGATTTGGATTTCATGCGAATTCCCTGCTTGACCAAAGCAATGTCTGACTCGATCTGAAAGCGGCAGGTAGGAATTATGGTGTTCAGCTTGCACCGAGTCAGCATGCTTTTGAAAGCGCGACGGGCACACCATCCAGATTCCAGGCGTTCTGTTTGCCCTCGTCCTCGTCATCTGAATCTTGCCATCTCTTCCAGTCTACCTGCTCCATTCGCGAGCATTGTTTGGGGGTTTCCCAAAATTGAGGGTTCCTTTTTGGGGGTCTCCATGATAAGTAAGGACTATAGTACATTGGGGTTTATATTGGGTTCGCTTATTTTGGGAAACTACCATCCGTCCAGACTCTCCCTTCATCTCACTCCTGAACTGGCTATCTCTGCAAGCAGAGTACCCATTACAGCCGCGAGCGTGTTCGGAGTTGCATTTTGAGGCCCTTCAACGATATCCTTGATTTTAAGACACTCCCCAAGTCCGTGAAAACTGAGCTGCGCAGGCCTTCACCCATGGCAGCTTTTTCACTTTGCTCAGGCTTGTCCAGCTCCCCTCCGTCTCTTTCTTGAGGTAGAACTCTATCAGCCTTCCAAGCTTCAGTCCAGGTCTCTCAAACAAGGAGTTTCCGTACACAGCCAAACATACCTGACCTGTACTTACAATCGCCTGCAAAAATTGCGATGCCGACCTGGCTTTAATGACCAAGGTGATTGGCTTCAAGAAGCACACCAACACCCTGAGCCCCAACAAGCCCTAAACCCTCAATCGTAGACTCTTCTTCATTGATTCCTAATGTAAAATAACGAGACCCCACTATAGACCCCCAAGTACTCTGATCCTTGTTCTAGGGACGGACCCCTAAATAGGTACCCCTAATTTGGCAAACCCTAAACCCTAAACAGCAGCTTCCATTAAATTTTCCATTCAACCCCTACATAATCTCTGTGTGATCCCCATGCAACACCGTATTATAACCATACCTCTTGAAAGCAGGTCGGCCTCTTGGTGCTCCACTTTGACTCGTCCTTTGCTATAGGTGCCTCGGCTGGGACCATTGAAGGAAGGCTAAAATTCACGTAAGCAAAGTTGGTCTTTTCACAAGCGCCTGTAGTGGGAGTTGCACTGCGCTTTTTGAGGGGTATAGGGCAGGCTCATAGCCCAGAAATATATGTTTTACAGGATCTGGGAACTGCACAAAGAAGTCAAGCGAGAACTCGTAGAGGCTGCCGCCAACCTGCAACAGGATTCAAGCACGTCTTCTGCATTTGTTGCTAGGGAACAAGAAATTCATCATAGCGCCTTTCCGAGGAAGGACATTTTCTCGGCGTCTAGATTGACCTGGCCGTTGAAGACCAGTGTAATCCCTTTATTCAACTATATCATATATGTATGTGTATGTATGGTAAACCCGTTGGTACCTGTGTTTTTTGGTTGCGTTGTATCTGTTGTATTGAAGGTACTGACAATACTGAAAGTACTATACTTTCAGTATGCCCCTGGATCCAAGATCTAAGATCCAAGATTCCTGCACAAATTTTCCTCGAAATCTAGGATCCTGGATCTTGCATCTCACGGCGTGCTGAAATTTCAGTATTTTCAGTAGTTCCTGGATCCAAGATCCGGGAACCACTATTCCTGGGAAAAGTGTTCCTGGTTTTCTCGTATAAAGCCCTTACCAAATGTATTACGTAGGTTTATGAGATAAGTTCTCTAAGGCCGGGCCGCTGATGTACTCCAAATAAATTGTGTTTTAAGTCAGCTTCTGTTTGTTACAGGAAGTTCTTGACTCCTGGGCCCTTGGTTTACTCCATTTCAATCTGCAGCAGACTGGTTTGGATGAATTACGGGAAGATTGACATCCCCGGCTCCTGGTTTTTTCATATAAACTCCTTGCTAGGAGGGTTCGGCATTTTGAAAGGAATTCGGTTCTCCTGGTGCCCGGATTTTTTCCGATGTTATCCTTTTGGAAAAATCCTTACTAGATCAGCTTCGATGTATTGCAGGAATTCTCCATGAAAGGAATTTTCAGATCCTGTGCTCCTGATTTTCTCCATGTACGTCCCGACGCGCGAAACTGTACGGAATAAATGCTCAGAGCTACAGCGAAACCCACGTTTTGAGGGATCAACTGCGGAGCCCAGTTTTCGACGTCATTTTGCGTTTGACACCACTTTTTGCTCCAAATTCATAGCGTTTTGCAGGCGCCCTCTGTTTCAGAGGCGTGCCAGGGCTCTACCCGTAACACCAAGAAGCTTGGGGGCTTGAGGAGCATGCCTCCGCTGCCAACTTCTGACGTAGGAAAGCAGCACACGTGTCTAGTCCTGGTATCCGCCTTAATAAGCTCTGGTGTAGGGAACGTCTTCCTTCACCAAGCGCCAGACTCCGTCCAGCATGCCAATATGCACGGACAACGGGCTTTTTCTCCACTACAGATCTACACTTCGATTCATTAGAGGAGTTCTCACATGGGCTCTAAGCTTTCTACACATAAGTCCCTTACAAGACTGGCTCCAATTGATCAAGGGAATGTTGAAATCCTAGGCTCTTGATCTTCTAAAGGAATTCTTCAAGCATAGGCTTTCGAACTAGAGGTTCTCTATGTACAGTGTGGCTTAGAATGAAGCCTAGATCGCAGGGACGACGTCTATACGATACTGGAACTAGCTCGAACTAAACGCATAGTTAAGATCTATGCGGAATATCTTGTAGCTTTGGCTTGCTTTGGAGGAGTAGCAAATATATTTGTACACATAAATAGGTTGGCGCGTGAAGGACTGCTGGGTTGAAGTTCAAGGGCCAAATCTTAAATTGCTTATCCGAGTGTTATCCCCATGACGTCCCCCAGCTTTAAAACCTTGAGCTTACTTCTGGGTTAAAATTCCAAAGTAAAATCCTACATTGTCCATAAAGTATTATCCTACTCCAGTGCCCTCTGCATCCCGCAGAGGCAACCAAGCTTGGAGTTTAGGGTAAGGTGTAGGTTCAGGGTTCAGGCTTCAAATCCGAGGCTTCAAGAAACCCTAAACCCGAAACCCTAAACAGTATAGTACGGAACCCGGCGGGATGAGACATGTAGTCCCCACGGTCCCAATTCAGATGAAGCAGATGGGATCCTTGACTACTGAACCCACCAAAGACAATACAGGCGGTCATGGTATTAGAACATGTCATTGAGGTATACTTAACGTATAGTCAGGCTTGCTGAATGCTTATACAGCCTGCACAGGAAGAACGCTGGTAGTGAATCCTCAACCCCAAGTTGCAGCTTCCATGTTCTCTTCCATTCTCTAAATAACCCCTATATTATATAACCCCTTTATAACCCCTCTAATATGGTAGTTTCCATTTGATTCTCCATTATCCCCCATATATCCCCAACATATCCCCCATTATAATATGGTAACTTCCATTTTCTTGTCCATTGTCCCCAGTAATGTGTTTCTTTATCACTGCTACAGACGGCCTTGATGTCCTGGACTTCTTTCAGGTCAATGGTGAGATACACGGCATCTGGACGTTGCGCCCACAAGACATCCTCACGGAAAGTGCCACATGATCTACAGTCAAAATTACCCGATATAATTACTGGACATGGGTTCCTTTAAATAGGAACTATGTTAGGGACTATACTAAACTACAAGAGGGATTGCTAAGGGTCCCTTAATGAAGCTAATAATAACAGTAGCACACATGACCATCCCCAGCACTGCGCATTTGGAAAGTCTGAGTCCCTGACGGGAGTGAGAGACATGACCAGCTAGGTATTGAAATTCTTCAAAACTGTACTAGGGCTAGCTTGAGCCAGACAATGTTATAGTAGCTCTGGTTCCTGGTAAGCGCTTAGGTCTCTTCTCAAATCGCTGGCTTGTGATTCTCACGGGCATGTTCAGCGGCTGATTGCATTTTTTTCCGGATACAGTTGTTTCCAGCCGGCGCTGCACCAATCGCTCGGTGGGCCAGGCCTTGTCACGACTAAGCCAGAGACCCAAGCTCTATTACAACAACTGGCTCTCATGTTTCCTGTAGCTTGGGCGTCGAGTCTCATGGGTAGTTCTCACTAATGTATCTATCTATCTCCAACACCACAAGGACCCTACTACGAGAAACCTAAAAAGGATCCATGAGCTTGAAAGACCCCACCTGGTAGCCACAACTTGGCCACGTTCACTCTTTTTTGCCTCTTTGGCACTTCACCTCACAGAAAGGTGCCAGTGAGGAAGGCCACTAACAATGAAGCCCAAAATATTGAAGGGAACCATATAAAAACAATCTTTCATAGTACCTGCCATTGTCTTAGCTATTGATAATACAAATCGCTATGGAAGCTGCTGTTCATGCCGGGCTCCAGACTCAGCCTTCTTTTCTGCTTCTTTTCGCTTAGCGGCTGCCTGGAACTGCAGCCGCAGGACTGTCTTGGGAAACCCAAACCAATTTTGTGCAGGCATGGTCCTCTTTCTGCACTTCTTTGGTGGTTTTCCAATAGAGCACAAACCTCAAGGGCATGATGCAAAGAATGAGACATGGCTTCATTCTCTCCGATCTGTTCCAAGAAGAACCTCGGCCTTCAAACTCGAAACGCATCCTATCCAGAGTCTGGCAACGAAAACTTCATCAAAATACTTGTCGCGGGAGAACAGCAGCAGTAGTCGTAATAGCTCCCCCTCCTAACTATTCCAAACCGTCTCAGCCTGCTCTGAGGCAATTGCTGCAACAGAAGGATGAACCACAGAGTGGCGGCCGCCAGCGGGTTCAGGATGGCTACTATGTCCTCACAGGCCGGATGTTTTGACACAGGCCGGGATGCTTTGGCAGTGAGAGCAAGACAGGCCACATGCCCTCCTGCGATTTCTATGCGGTCTATAATACATCCTGAAGTAGGATCCAGCATTCGGATGATTACTAGCTTTTGCGTGGCACGTCCGTGGAATTGCAAACATTGGAGATGCGACATTAGGGACCCTTTAGCATTCTGTGGTGTTACATACGCCAAGAGCTTTAATCAGTTATTATCTAAAAGTGTCCTCTCACAGGTCATATATAATCTCGGTTTGTGGGTCGTGCGTTCTTGTGCGGGTGATTCTTTACTTCACCCTTGTCTTAGCTTCAGCTTTTGTTGCCCGTCAAGCCTTCGTCTGCAAGGCATAGGTCAGGACCTCGGCTTTCAGGAACCCATGAATGCAGCGTGGATAGGTTGGAAACAGACTCCAAGCCAGCATGGCCGAAAGCTTCAAAAACGTTTCCGTACAGCTCCGCAAAGATCGCGCAATTTTTCTTGCACAACAAAACCACGGCCCTGGTTGGGGTCTAAACTCAAAAAAGCAAGCCACATCGTAAAGCTGCTTCAGGGTTCTTGCCTGTGGGGCTATATACGTGCTGCCTACTATCTACAGTTACTACTTTGCTTGAAGCATTGCTCATCTGAATTCCCACCCCCTTGAAGTAGACAGGCACGGATGGTCCTTCTAGCCCGCCATGAACCGCCAGCAAAAGACTCAGGCTCAGCTCCAGGCACGGACGGAGCAACCCGCCAGCCCTAGAACAGCAGGCCTGGATCATCGGCAACGATGCAGGAACCTATGAATAATCCACTCCCCTAATGTTAAACGACCGCACACCCCCTAATTGAATACTCCCAAGATATTACAATACACCACATAATGGGAATATATGATATAAGGGTTGTTGGGGGGGTTTAATACTAGGGAGAGAAGATTACCGTGGAAGAACAAAGACCTTCTAAACCCAAATACAATGCTACCATAATTCCCAGGGTTCGGGGTCCCAAGGCAATGTAGGCCTTAACTACAGTAGCAACAACCAGAGGATACTGAATCATGGGGCACAGAGCCTCCTTGCACATCCCCACAACTGAGATCCTTGCTCACGAAGACTCCATTAGAAAAAGACACAGTTTCCAGAAGCATGGATCTGGTCTGCTGACTTGGTGGCTGGCAGACGCACGCAAGAAGTGAAATTGAAAATATGGAAAAGGAGTGAAGGTGCCACTTGGAAAATCTGATGTCTCTTACACTGGATTCCAATTGTCCTTGTTGAAATCCATTGCATTTCCCTCTTGGAGCTTGGTCTGCACTCTATTCCCAAATGATCTTGAATCAAAGCATGGAGCATGATTGAATTGTAAGTGGAACTGCGCTCAAAGCATTTGTCCTAAGGACATCCTGACCCTCAAACCGTCAACCTCTGAGGATCAGACACAGCAGCCATGGTACCCGTGTGCTTTTGGACCATGTTTTTCCAGATCTGGGGCACTTTCGACCCGTTACCTTCAGCAATTTGTCAAGCTGCTCGAATGGTTTCTTAGAGTTTGCACTGGGCGGCTCTGTGCTGTGGTGTAGAAATTTGTCGGATGTGGGATGTAGGCCTCAACAGGATATGCCTTGGTAATGCGAATCACGGGCATTATTGGGCTCTTGGGGCCTTCTTTTCTTCCTTCACGAAATAACACGTTCATCTTAAATTGAGGCAGAGTAGAACGCTTCAAGACCTTTATCCAAGCTTCCAACACTCATTGGATTTGATTTTGAGTGTGCAAGCCTCAAATTCGGATTCGTTCAAGATTTGAAGGTTCAAGGTAGATTCGGAAGTGAATGCTCTGGAGAACACATACAGCGAATGCGATGATACGACGCAGGTTAAACCTCCGAGTGCTGAAGACAGAACCGACGCAGAATCATCCTATGCCATTGTACAAAATGGTGTTGGCATTTGCTCTGACCACTCCCGCTACCGTTTGTAGTACTTCCTGCCTGTGGCCCTAGCATTGCCATCATCGTCATCCCCCAGTAATAGAGCATTATGGATGCCTTTTCCAGCTAATTCAACACGCCTAACTTCAAATCCAAACCCTACTCCTTTACCTTAAACGATGACTGCCAAACGAAGCTTGGCGTCAGACCTAGGACAATGGGCGCAGCGCCAAGAGCGGACACGGCCGCATTGGGCAAGCCTCAGCAATCTTATGTTTGACGTTTGCTTCCGCCTTCCTAGTCATGGCTCAGTCATCATGTTCTTGGGCACGAACCAAAGATGAGGACCGCTATACTGCCCAATACGAAAGCTGCAGCTCCAAGAAAACGCGGCCTTGGAGTGGCAAGAATGAGTCATACTGTCGGGAAGCATGATGCCAACAGAGCCACGAACGCTTTGGACAGCTGCGGCGAGTAGTGCCAGTAGAGTAGAACGATCTGAGCAGATGGACACACTTTGCTTCCGAAAAAGATGCGGCTGATGGTGTTCCCACGGTAAGGCTGCGGCGATCGCGTTCTGCAAGCCGACTATTACATTCTCTCCCCAGCTCATGAAGGGATGACCCGAAAGGACGTTGTAGTACACCTGAGAAGCACATCTGCTTAAAACATCGAACACGCTGAAGCCTTGCGAAAGGCACGCCATGAACTGGCGTAATTATCATGGTGTATGCAACCAGGCCGCAAATAGCAGCCCTGCCATGCAGTCGTTGATGACAAAGGTCTCTGACAGGCCCACAACGCTGCCTGCCTGGCAGACAAGGGAGAGAGAGAGAGAGAGAGAGAGAACAAACAAAAAAAAAGTTAAGTGTCATATCTTCCCCCACCATGTCACCATGCTTACAACTTGCAGAGACATTCTTGCCAGGAGCTTGCAAGGGTCAATGTTGTTTTTCAGCAAGTGCCATTAATCGAAGCAACCATGCGAGCTCCGAGGCTTTGGCAATTTGGGGCTAGCAACTGCAGCGCCATGACTTGACATGATGGTTCCCTGTACAGCTCAGATCGCCCACCCTGACCGCGCCATCGCTGCCCTTTCTTACTCGCCACCAGAAGCGGCAGCCTCGTGGCCCGGCCCTCACCGTCGCCAGCCCCACCAAACGTGCTACCACTTTACCACCTTACGCATCGATGCTATTTTGGATGGTCAAAACACCATGCCCGGTCATCAGGCGACATCCAAACAAGCTGCATGCGTGCAGCAGCTGAGAAAATCTTTGAGATACAACGCGCAACTGCTCCTTCCCTTCACGTCATGTCCGCCGGGCGATCAAGTTGGATTGGATATCTAGATGGGATCACAACCAGAACGCTGGATTAGATCCGCAGGCAACTTGATTCGTTCGGGTTTCCGGGACAATGCAACAACATGCCTTCAGAATGTTGTTGATCTGTGGGAGCTTCATGAGGCAGCTCCTGAAGTCAACTGGGGGCATGGAGCATCGACTGCCAACAGCCAAGCACGACCACATTCTATGTGCCCCTGAGCGGGTCCCCGCCAACATAGCCCAGTTCAGCCCCATGATCACGAGCTTCTTTAGCTCGGCTATGTCCACCATGTCCAGCATGGCTGCCATGAGGCTCCGGGCTCCTAACTACGTGATGCTCGCTGCTTCTACTGGAATATGGGTGACAGCACAGGTCAGGTCTCCCTCGTCCTGGAAATTGTTGAGTTTTGTTGCAAAGTCATGACTTCAGCTCTTGCTGTGAGGCACATGTTGGCAGGAGCCAAGATCAGCACAAGTCACTGAGGTACCCTGAGTCATGAAAGCAAATGGCGACCCTCTTTGTCACTGAGCAAGGCCTCAGTCGGTGCATGCAGATTCCCATGGTCCCCAAGAAGCCCAATCACCTGGCATGCTCCTTCTCAATTGCACTCACCTCCCCCAGCGTCGGTAGGCGCAGCTTCCCCTGGTCCGTGGCATTTCGGAGGCAGCCGCTGATCAGCTCGACGACTTCCAGCATGTCTCGTCCCCGGAAATGGTTCACCCACAAGGCATCCTCTTCGTCCAGGAAGCCGAAGCGGCACATGAGCGCGAGTGTGGGGCCGTTGCCACTGCCTTCAGCGCTGTACGTGATGCTGTGCTCAAACAGGAAGGGCGAAGTGAGGTAGATGTGGCCTTGAGCAGTAGTAGATGCATCAATAAACAGGGGAGAGTCGCAGAGTGTTTCTCACAATTAGGGTTACCTTAGATGCTCCCAAAACCAGTCAGAACCCTACTCGGCAGGCGGCCTGCGTCCATCCACAATTCTTGGGTCCAGGAGTCGTTCTCGCTCCTGGCAGGGTAGCCTTGTATAATGCCCCTTGTTATGTGTCCATCTTCTCAAGGTGCATTATGCTGCCAAACATGCGTGGGGTGTCTCATGAATTATGGAGTGGCCAGATAGGAATCTGCATGTGAAAGTTTTCATGCAATCGACTCCCAACACAGCACACCTATCTCGTAAAATCCCTGGAAGGCTCCAAGCTCGCAACTGTAGACGGCGTCGCCCACTCAGAGTAATCCTTGGATGCGCATAAATGGAACAAAAGTCTTGGACTTCCCCCTTGGATTCCGTCCTAGACTGGCCACGTTTTGTTTTCAGAGCATGCTGCGGATTTGGCCATGGTGCCCCAAATGAAGAAGGCCCGTCGCACCATCGCGGTGCCAGTGCATCTCCTTCCTCCGCGCTGGGCCCGCCTGATCAACAACTGCCAGTGACCAGAGTGTTCTGTGGAAACTGATCAAAAAGGGCAGCCTGCGCTTCGATGGCGCCGAAGAAGCCACGTTCCTGAAACTCCTCGATGAGCATCTTGAGAAGGCGGCATCTGGCAGCGCTGCGAATTCAAAGGCACATGCATAAGCCGCCTAAGCCTAAACTGTCCCCACCTGAGTATATCATCAGGCTTCTGCTCATGCAACTCCTGCAAGCCAGAAGCTATCTCTTGCCAGCAGTCATCGTTGACTTTCCGGAAGGCTTCGAGCAGCGCCAGTACCCTCGGCGGAGCTTGCCGCACAGGTACCACAGCGTTCTTGCGTGGGACAAAGATGTCAAATTTCTTGCCCCAGCCGTGCACGCCGTGCCAATCTGCTTTGAGCATGAAGGGCTCCCGCTTCGAGAATTGGAAGCTCCATTTTTTCCAGGAGCCCGGGGCATGGTCTGCCACATCAGGCTCATTTTTGCCATCAACGTCATCAAAGAGACGGTCAGGCCACTCCAAAGTGCCCACAAACGGCCCTGCGGGGTCTTCCAGGACGTATTTCGTCAACTGCTCCGCCGGCGGGGCTACTAAGAAAACTGTAGGCGCATCGTCTCCCCCAACTTTGGTTCCTCGCAAAAGCGGTGATTCCGCGATGAAATGCTTCAGAACAGGGGCTTCGCCTTGATGCGCTTTTGCCTGAGCAATAAGTGAACCAGACTTTGCAGCAACATTCCCAACAACTTTCTCATGCGTAATTGCGAAGCCCTGATCCAATTTCAAGGTAGAAAGGCATGTTCTGGTGGAATCCAAGCTTCTCTGAGGGCCACTCCTGCAGAATCCCTCTGCGCCACGCGTAGAAATGCCAACCTGCATATTGCTGGGGGTGCGTCCGTCTACGGCCTGTCTGCATGAATCATACCATAATATACCATAGTATACTATGGTATACTATAGTATACTATGGTATACCATGATATACATCACCAGGACAAAAGTTTTGACATGCCAAGGTACATCTTACTCCCGTATTTTAGCGCGGAAAGATTTCCAGGGCAGAAGGTCCGTTTTATGTGGCCAGCGTGGCGGAGTAATTATGATCCTGGAATAAACTTATACTATTATAAAGTTCCCGGCGGAGAACCTGTGCTAGGAGTCTAGGGGGAGAGGGGTTGCCCTTGCCGTACATATTGCATTGTCAGTCCGCGTGGCGAACTTTTGTCCTACCGCAGTACTATCATATACTATCATATAAAATTGCAAAAGGGAATGTCGGAACCCCAGCACCAGCCTAAAAGCTCCCAGGCCAACCCATGACAGCAGCAAGGCGCACCACCGGAAAATGGTCCGGTCCCCCATCATATAGGGATATATAGTTTAGGGATTATATAGAGATAGTATAGGGGTTATATAGGGGTTATACGGGGGTTATATTGGGGATATATTGGGCTATATAGGGGTTTTATTGGGGTTGTATTGGGGCTATATAGGGGTGATATAGAGGTGTATATATATATACATATATATAATAGGGGTTATATAGGGGTTATATTGGGATGATGAAAAGAAAATGGGAATTACGATAGTATAGGGGTTATGCCCCGTCTTCCCGTTCTGAATGCAAGGGATGGCATTGGGGTCTGGGAGTTCATGTTTCAGGGTCTAAGTTTCCAGATGTTGCCGATCGCTCCCGATCAGGGTTCTGGGCCATGTTCATACTAAATACTAGAAGACCTGCCGTATTAACGCTTCCAAATATCCTTCGCTCGCATTGTATTACCATTGCACCCTCCTCCACAACGAAACACGTGCTTTTCTCCTCCCCATTGCCAGGATGCTGTGACTATAGGCACCTGGGCTCAGAGCCATCATGCAGCTAGGATGTCACAAAGATGCTGTGGCTTCCAAGAATCCAGCCCCAAAAATACTAATAAGTGCAGCAGGGGTGGAAAAGCACAATTCAGAATGCACGCTAGTGGGTGTGATGTCTTGTTTATGTGAAAATAGACACATGTGGGATTTCTTATGCGAGGAGACTACAAGGAGCGCCACTGGCAAAAACCTGCCCGAAGAACTTGCCGACTTACGTTAGGTCTTGCTTGAACTGCATTCTGCATCCACATGCAGAAATCTGCTCCCGGTCCAGTTCAGAAAGGGTTCCGTCTAGCGATAACCACCATAACATCTTTAAAATTCTGCAGGAAGAACAAGCCACAAGACCACACTATGATATACCTAGTTGTGGCAGCATGGACAAACTCGCCGCATCATTTTTTGCTGCTCGAGACGGCGGACGCAAAGGCATCCGGAATGCCTGCACAAAACAAGGGCTCACACAGCTGTAGCCACAGAAAGCCCTAAGCCAGCCGCAAAAAAATGACTCCTGACACAAAGCAGTACCACTGGTTGGCAGAACCCCGTAGCCTCCATGCTGCACAGCCCACTCGAAGCTCTTAAGAACATGACTCAGCAGATACAGAACATGCCTCGCAAGAGCCCCGGGCACAACATCTTGCTACCCTTCAAGGACACCAACTTAGACTTTCTGAAGGACTAAGTGAGTCAGATGCTCGCACAAGCTCAGACAGAATCCTACGCCCATATTCACAAACATAGACCCAACACCTTGCCCCAAATCTGAAGCCTTCATATGCCCTCATAACCCACCTCAGGTTTTTTGAGAAAACCCTAAAACCCCTAAACTCTTCTCCCTGCGAGGAGTGACAAAGAACACCCTTCTGTGCCTCGAGCCGCAGCTCCTGCGTGCACGCAGCAGTCAGCAGGGCCTCCACCTGGGTAGCTGAGAGGACCCTGTTTTGGGGTGGTTCTATGGAAGGTTACATAAAGGTTGCAGGGATTATCGGGGTTGTACAGGGGTTGTGGGTGAAAAAGGGTTCTGGGTGGTTGAGGGCTTGTAGGGATTATAGCATGGGCGTGGGTCGAGAGTACGTAGAGCATGCAAGGATTCTGGGGATAGCATGGGAATGCAAGGAGGTACATGCATCACGAACACCCTGTGCATAGGAGCAACGGCACTGAAGTGGGGTCATACGGGGATGTGAAGAATTTACTGTCGGGGCAGATAGGTAGGCGTGTCCAGCACTAATGTTGTCCAAAAGAACAACAACAAGAAACTGCAGGTCATCCCCCGAATGTAAACTTCAGTCGGCTGCCAGTTGGGTAGTCATAGGCCACTGTTCATGGATCCCTACATGAGCTCGCGCCAAAATTCTTATTCCCAGAAGCGGCCGCATCTTAGTTGGGTTTCCCCTATCGGTAAACAGCATTTGTTAGGGGTATCGGTGTTGGGCTTCCCCTATCGGTAAGCAGGGT